CATAACCGTAATATTCATATCGACACTATTATACTTATATTGTCACATAAAATTATTTATTTATAATTGTATTAAATAAATAAATAAATCAATATAATATTACATGTGATCACTTTCTAATAAATTAAATAAATTAATCATATAATAACATATTATAATTATAAGTTATAATAATACATCACATTGTAACTATATTATTCTTGTATTCATATTCATATCATACCATTAAATTCAAGATTGATTTGAGGCCAAAAAAATTTCAAGATTGATTTATTTATTACTTTAAACAAGACTACACATAGAGTTTGAGTTTTCCATCCTTTCGTTGAGTGTTTTCTGACTTTTTTTTGGTTGTTTATTCCATCCATTCCAAAATAAATATTAATGTGAAATAAGTAATAACTTTAATTATACTAGGAATTTATAAGAATGAAATTAATAAATTATCTTTTTTTTAACGGATTATAATTTTATGGAAGGGAGTTCGAATTCCAACTTTACACTTAAGAGTATAATTTTATGATGAGATATGTATTTATTGAATCATAAAATCAAGTGTAATAAATTATTCTTTTTAAATTCTCGATATGTATATGCATCTAAATTAAGTCAAGAGACAACAGTTAAAAAGGCAATCTGTTTAGTTAGCTTAATAAAATCCTTAAAGCTTTTCCCATTTAAAAAAAAATATATATTAGTAAAAGGGAAATGGAGATGTTACTCGGCAATGCACCTAATCTTACAAACTACATATGGAGTTATCATACAAGAAATTTGTATTGCCATGTAAAATTTTTTAAGGTGTATTTGATTAGGTTAATTTTAATATTTATAATTTTTTTTTTTGAACAGATTTTACAAGGAGCTGGGTTCGAACCCCAGTCCTGGGAGGGAAGAATGCAACATGAATGGCTATTGTCACTTGACCCGAAGGGTTCGGTATTAATATTTATAATTTTTAAATTAAAATTAACTATATTTAAAAATTTTAAAAATAAATTAATTAGTTTTTTTATCAAAATAATTTGATCATTGATATCTAATTAAAGATTTAAATTTTCAAATTTATACATCCGAATCTACCGAAACAAATGAAACAAACATTATTTAAAATTTTTAAAAAATATTTCGTAAAAAAAATTTTAAAAATAAATGCTGGCGTGGAGGTGGCGCGGAACCACAATCCATCGACGAGAAAAGGGCCCGAATAAGAAAAGTGAACAGTGATGTGCACGCGCTGGAATTGCGTTTGTAATTCAATCGAATCGCATCGCATACCCCGCCAAGGCGCTAACTATAACTCCATCCAGTACGGTGCTGTTCCGTGACTTTCGTCTCCGTCCTCTCTCTCTCTCTCTCTCTCTCTCTCTCTCTCTCTGTAAACCCTAGTCTTTCCCTCCCTTTCCCTTCTTTTCTTTTACTGTACATAACTTTCCGACCGAAGGTGAAAAGGGTAGCCTTTGAATGGCCATGACAGTGCCAGAAAGCGACCCTATTGCTGTCTCTAAGCAACTCCTGGCTTTGCTTTCCGATCAAATTCCGAACATCCTTAACTTTAAGGGGAAGTGCTCGCTTATCAAATCGAAACTCTCCGGCCTCGAGACCCAACTCGCCGAGTTCTTGGATTTTCCGGCTTCTTCCTCGAACCCGCTTTCTGTTGAGCTCCTCTATTCGATATCCGGTACTTTAAACGATGCTGTTCTTTTAGCGCAGAAATGTCAACGGTCCGATTTGCCGGAGGGGAAGCTCAAGACGCAGAGTGATATTGACTCCGTCTTGGCGAAGCTGGATCGACATATCAAAGACAGTGAGATTTTGATTCGGAGTGGGGTGCTCCAAGACGGTGTTGTCTCCAGTTCCTCGACGAAGGAGGCTGTGCGGGTTGAGGCGAGGAACTTGATAACTCGGTTGCAGATTGGGGCTAATGAATCGAAGAACGCGGCCATGGTCTCGCTTTTGGAGTTGCTTCAAGAGGATGATAAGAACGTGATGATTGCGGTGGCTCAAGGGGTGGTTCCAGTCCTTGCGCGGTTACTGGATTCCAGCTCTTTGGAGATGAAGGAGAAGGCTGTCGCCGCGATTTCAAGGGTTTCAATGGTGGACAGCAGCAAACAAGTATTGATTGCTGAGGGACTGTTGCTTTTGAATCACTTGCTTCGGGTTCTGGAATCGGGAAGCGCGTTCGCAAAGGAGAAATCTTGTGTTGCTTTGCAGGTTCTGAGCTTTTCTAAGGAGAACGCGAGAGCAATTGGGTGTAGAGGTGGAATTTCGTCTCTGTTAGAGATTTGCCAGGTCGGAACTCCTGGGTCACAGGCATTTGCAGCTGGGGTTTTGAGAAATCTTGCAGCCTGCATTGAAATTAAGGAGAATTTCATCGAAGAGAATGCCGTTTTTGTTCTGATTGGGGTTGCTTCCTCTGGTACTTCATTAGCGCAAGAAAATGCAATTGGGTGTTTGGCAAATTTGGTTGCCGATGATCACAGTTTGAAGCTTTTGATTGCTAAGGAGGGCGGTATTGAATGCTTGAAGAATTTCTGGGATTCATCTCCTACTGAGAAGAGTCTGGATGTTGCTGTTGCGTTGTTAAGGCACTTAGCTTCTTGCCCCCCTGTCGCAGAAGTTCTTGTCTCTGAAGGATTCATTCCCCGTCTCGAAGCAGTGTTAAACTGTGGGGTTTTAGGCATGAGAATTGCTGCTGCTCGAGCTGTTTACGAGCTTGGATTCAGCTCCAAAACAAGGAGAGAAATGGGTGAATGTGGGTGTGTTGTTGCATTGATCAAGATGCTTGATGGAAAGGCTGTTGAAGAGAAAGAAGCTGCAAGCAAAGCATTGTCGACCCTTTTGTTATGTCAAGGTAACAGGAAGATTTTCCGAAAGGATGAGAGAGGGATAGTGAGTGTAGTGCAGCTCTTGGACCCTTCGCTACAGAATCTGGATAAGAAGTTCCCTGTTTCAATACTGGCTGAGCTTGCCCATTCTAAAACGTGTAGGAAGCAAATAGTTGCCACTGGTGCTTCCGTGCACTTGCAGAAACTTGTTGAGATGAATGTTGAGGGAGCTAGGAAGCTCTCAGACAATCTTGGTCGGGGAAAGATTTGGGGTGTTTTTGCCAGACCATAGCAGCTGAGTACCACAATTCATTCATCTGTATGTACCAATACTGTTGTTTACTTTGATTCCTTGGTTTTCCTTTCTTTTTCCTCCTTATATTGTTTATAGTGGCTGTTAATTTTGTTTAGAGTAAATGTTTCTAGTCTAGTTGCTGATGAAACACTTTTTCTGTAGAGATATAATCTTTGATTGATGACCTAAATTGATTGAATCCTCCTCTCCTGCCTCCAATTCAATAATTTCTATAGCTCTGTTTGTCTGCAAAAACACTTATGCTACTGTATTTATCTGAACAATTTATTCAATTAAATTGATTTTACAGTGCCTAGCTTAATATGTAGGCTCTGCTAGACCGATAATGTTATATCTATTTCATTTTTCCTTTCTCAAGTGTTTGATACTTGAATTCGAAGTTTATGCTTATGTGCTAGGATTGATACTTGATGGAATGATTATTCTAAATTCTTAGATTGTTTTATTTTGTCTTTGGCATAGACCTGAGTTTCTTTTGCCTGTAACTTTGAAGCGAAACGGTTATTTTTTTTTAACATACTACATAGGATTTTCGACATTTCTGTCTATAATAGATTCAATTTTTATTCAATGGTTGGATTTTTATTTACTTAAAACTTGTGCGTATAGGAATTCAATTACGTTTAGGCAATATAGTTTTTCTCACTAAATAAGCTTTCTCATATTGGTTTTTGGTACATCGCATTTCTTTTTGAATAATGATAAACAGGACTAAAATTTGGGACCAAAATATGAGAATAATGACATGGTTTACATCACATCATTATATTAAAAGGTAGACTTTATATTATTTAATGATTGACTCTTTTTATTTTTTTTACCAATGAACTTGTATGCATCAACTAATTTAATGACGTGACATAAGTCACGTCCTTGATCCCAAATTTTCATCTCCCTATCATTACTCTTTCTTCCTACAATAACCATAAACCAATAAATGGACGTACTTTTACCATTTTTTAGTTCTTCAGAATTCTTCTCAAGTACCATAAGCCAAATGCATTTGTCTTTTATTATGTTTGATCAGCAATTACCGGTGTCTAATTCCCATGTGCCATATGATTTGCAAAAATGTTCACTATGATTGAATTGTCACTATTTTCAATTTGTCTGTAACTATATTATGAATTTGGATTAGATTATAAGAATCTTTATTTAAACTAGTCTTGTGATCTCCATCCACATGTCTAACATTTCCACGTACCATGTCAAGTGGGACTAAGCCATGTGCTCCCTTCACAAATCACAATCATGTGCATTTGTGTTATACAGTTTGCCCCCAAAACACTTTTCTGTAGGCTCGGTTGTTACTTAACAAATATGGACCTACCTAAATTTGTTTGCCACTCTGACTTTGCTGCTCTCTATTATTGAATAATTAAATAGGAAAAGAGGGCGAGGAGAAGGGGCCGGGATGATGATATCTCTCAACTTCTTATTACCATACATAACATATTTTCTTACTTGTACTTTAGGTGAACATGACATTGCTTGGCCTCCTGAAAGGAGAAATAAGACAGCTGGCTATCTAGTGAGACTTCGTTTTCGCTGTCTTCCATTGCTTGATATAGAGGATCTCTCATTTATACTTGAACCCTGTTGTTGTAGGAGATGAAAGTTTCTG